AGGCGTCGGATGGGTCGATGTCGTTTGTGAGACTACTCTGCAGCTTTGGGATAGTCTGCGCAAAGGTGTCTGCCTCTTCCAACGGAACCACGACCCCAATCTCCTCGGCGGCGAAATGGTGTAGCCAACGATTAGCTGCGTCTGTGTGTGTGTGGAGGCGGTTGTGCCATCCTCCAATTCTATGATAGGTAGTGCGCGCGTGCTGACCCTTTTGGCAGATCCAATACCCATGGCACGTAGCTTGGCAAAAACCTGAAAGTAATTCCTTCGTTCCCATGCGTCGGCAACACTAGAGGCCAGTCCTTCATAGTGCTTTAGGGCGTCTTGAGCTGTCGAGTGGCGAATGAGCAAAGTTGTGTGAAACAAAATAAGCTCACGGTGGGCACTCGCACAGGCGCGCACTCTATGCGCTGTTACGTATCTCCATACCTCTACATCTCCTCCCTGTACCGTCCCGTCCATGTAGGTTGATGGTAGGAATGGTGGTGGTAGGATGATGGCAGATACCCCTTGGTGCCCCCATTGCGCAAGCATCCTGGGTCGTCCCAATCCTTGTCCTCCTGGTCCCTCTCTGAGTGTCGTTCCCTAATGTCGGCTTGTCTCCTTAGTAGCGACGCTGTGGCCTGCGGAAGTAGCAGGCATTGACTGTGTAGCGAGCGTACCTGGCAAACTAAGACGGGCAGGCTAGGGAAGCGGCTAGTGGCTGGTGTGTCGTCAGCCTCGAAGCTGATCGATGCAATTGCCCATCGCCATGCAAAGAAGAGTACACGCAGCATGTTTCGACTGGCCCAGAGGAGGATCTTGCGGGAGAGGCGTAAGTATATGCTTCGTTCGTCCTGAAGGCCCAGAGTGTCGATATTGATCCAGGGCTGCCTTGGTTGTCTCCCTGTAGCTGTCTCTCGCACAGGAAAGGCCGTGCTCATACACTGTCGTACGTGGTCCTCACATGCCTTAGTATGGTCTGTGCTGTGAACGCTGAAGGGCGGGGGGCGGAACTGCATCAGCATGTGCTGGAATAGCTGGGCTGAGGTCGGATCCGTGTAAAGAGTCGGATCGTGCTTGACCTTGTAGGGCCTGGGCGCCTCCGGCATGAACTCGGAGGTTGGAAACAAAAGGCGCGCTGATGCCACGTTATGATCTGGAAGTGATACTGTGAGATCAATATCGTGGTCCACCCCCTGCGCTGGCACCGCAACGTCCATTGACATCGCCACGTAGTCCCTGCGGTGGGTTGTTGTTTTGGCCCCTGGAGCTGTCCAGGTAGCCGCCGAGCCTGAGGGGTCCTCGTAGAAGGTCGATGGGGCCCATTGGGAGGTAGCCTTGAGGAAGTCATGAAAGTGCTTTCCTGGGAGGTTCTCCTTTTCTGCATGTATGGGGCCCATGTGAGCGTCCGTTTGGGATCCCAGAGCAGCGTTGGTATCCACCAGCGTAACCAAGTGTTCAGAGTCCCCTTTGTGTTGGTGCATGTATTGACGCAACTGAGACCACCAACTGTCGATGTCCGTTGGGGGGCGGCGGGAGTGCGGAGCAGGCGCCACACACACACAGAGCGACAGACCTGGGGCCCGTACGGCCACGATGAGCACTGTGGGCTCTGCATGCAATACCTGTAGGTGGGAAGGCTGCACTGCAAGACCTGGTTGGTATTCCCACTGTGTGTTGACACATAGTGTGCAGCCTTCCCCTCCGGCGTCGGAGGCCTGTGAGTGCAACAGGTAGAACTGGCCTAGCTCGGAGGTGCCTGTGCGACGTAGACGCGTCTCAACGGAACCTACCAGGAAGTAAGGCTTCTGCGCAAATTGGCCCGCGAGCTGCATCATTCTGCCAGTGGCATTAAAGCCTTGGTACCTGTCGGGGCTCCCCTTGTGGGCCTTGTACGCACGGGGGTCCAAGGAGAGCACGTTGGCAATAGCACACCACCCAAGCGCAAACGTTTTGAGGCCTTTGGGAACCTTCTTGGGGGCCGGGATGATGTCCATGAAGCCCGTAGTGGGAGCCTGGGGGGTGGGTAGGTGCTGTCCGTAGTGGGGCGGGTAAGCCTCCTGCGTAGTCGGATCAGCGTGTGCCAACCAAATCCATGGTAGCGCCTTGTCGTGCTCTTCCTGGGAAATGAGGTGCCTCCAGACTGGGTCAAAGAACTCAGGGAGTATATCCATGGCGTAGAGACGCGCAAGTGTGTCGACGCACTCATTCCAAGGGTGTGCTGCGTGTCCGTGCACGTGCTCAAAGATGACAGTGCGCACGCACATACGTATGGCCTGGATAAGGCAGTCCAGGAGGCGTTTGACTGACTGCAAGGTGCCCTGCACATATCCTCCCCTGTATACTCTGAGCACGTCCATGTTGTCAGTGTGAAAGCTGACTGTAGCCTGGCGCAAATGCACGGGCGCTTGCAACAGCCAGGCGCTGGCCCAAATAGCCGCTTCCAGCTCTGCTCGTAGGGACGCACAAGTGTCCGAAGCGTCCCAGCCTCTGAGTGGCCCTGCCAGATGTCCTATCAGAGAAACCCCCATGGCAGTGAGCGCAAGTACGCAAAAGGCCCATGCTGGTTGACACCTGTTGCCTTCATACCGATAACCTCCTGATGTGGCATCCGTGTATACCAGAATTTCCTCGATGGGTACATCCATGGGGAGGGGTATGAGATTGGCAAAAGCCTGAATAGTAGACGAGTGCCAATATTGGGCCCAACTCAGGATGTCGGTCGAGAGCTGCACTGGCCATTTCCGTTCCAAGAGAGATACTGTGTCCGAGTAGTGTGGGATGGGAGAAACCGAGATACCCTGCACTGATGCGGTCACATGCTCTCTGATGTCGTGCTCCATACAAGGAGCACGCTGCTTTTCCTGTCGTGAAGGAGAATATTCATGCAAACGGGGGGAAAAGCCTGGATGGATGGGAGATTGTAAATTCGAAGGCCGAGACGCTTCTGACACGGCCTTTAGCGAAAAACTGGGCTCGCAGGCGCAGGTGATGCGTTGGCTGGCGAAAAAGAAATGGCTTTGGCAACACTCGCGGGAGACTGCAAAGCGGCTTGCTCATTGTCCTCGGCAGCAGCTCTGGCTGCCGCTTCATCTGCTGCCTCACGGGTGGCCACTTCCCCTGCACCTGCGCCCAGAGCTTCTCCACCATCTCTGTCAGCTCGTAGGACTTTGGCCCCCGCCTGTCCACTGTCCGTGTGCCGTCGGAGGGAGACTGAACGTGTAGCTCGGCGACCTAGTAGGGCTGCCTCTAGCTTGGCCCGGTTGGCCTTCTGAACCTCCGCGGGCACCGGCTTGTCCTTGTCCTTCTTGGGGGTCTGCATGGCGACTTCAGACTTGGCCGCATCGATGGCGGCGGCGGTAAGTCGGATTTCTTCTCGGTCCTGATGTTGGCGATCTCACTCTGGAGGGTGGTCACGGTCTGCTGGAACGATGACATTGTGCAACATCTGGGCGTTTGATTGCTGTATTGCTGCCAATAACGCTGGCATGCTGACTTCATTACCCATGACCGCTGCAGATGGCCCTCCAGGTGATACCTGCGTAGTGGGCGGGGCAGGCTGGGGGCGCGGTGTCTCCTGGCCTCCAACTGCTGCGGCTTGGACAGGCGTACCTGAGGTCGCTGCAGGAGTAGCTGTCGTGCGCTGCACTATCGCTGTCCTGGGCGGCGTCGCGGTCGGTGAGGAACTGGCTGATGTCCATGGTGCCCTGCTGATTGTTCCCCTCTGTCCTGGGCGGAAGCTCGTCTGTGCGAGTGGTCCGTCCATCATGAGTTCGTCATCATCATCGTCTGGAACGGCGATGTTGCCTGCGATTGGTTGTTCATCTTCCAGATCTTCAAAATGTTCCAACAACTGTTCCGCTTGCGCAAGCTCATCTGTGAGAACTTGGCATTGGGTGTCGGCCGCTTCCAACTGCTCTTGGAGCAAGTGCATCTTTGCCTGGGCGTCCATGAGGCGCTTCTTGCAGCGGCCGGCGAACATACGCTGCTTCGTGATTCTGGCCTGGGGGGACCTGGAGTGCATCATCTGGTAGAGGAGAACGCTGTACTCTTCCTGCATGCGGCTCACTTGCTCCTGGTCGAGATTGAGCGCGGCCGCGCAGTGCAGCTGGCGCTCGATGGACTCCATTATAGCGGCCAATGCCTTCCTGAAGTCCCCGAGCTGCTGTGGGTCTTGCGGCGGTTCACGCCATCGTCGATGTGGTTGCGCAAACTCGGGGGAGGCCGGCATGCTCGGAATAATGTCATCTGGCCCACCTTCTGTCTGCTTGTTGGCCGTGCTCGCTGCGCCTCGCTGTGGGGGCTGCGAGGTGGCGGCTCGGCGCTGGCCACGCGGGCGAGATGCCGATCTGGCGCGTCGTTCTCTCCATTCTGGAACTTGACTAGGATGGCATTTTGCACAAACCTGCGCCGTCCACGCGTTGTGGTGAGCGCATGCTGGACACTCCCACAGGCGCTTGTACTTGGTGACTGTCTTCCAGGGCGGGGAACGAGGCTCGTGCTCACGATCTGAACGATCTGGGCGTCCTCTGCTGTCACCTCTGGAACGACCTTTCGCCATGCTGCTGTGGTGTCTGTCTAGTAACTCACTGGCTGAGGCGATCCGTAGCAGGGTCCTGGCCCTGCCCCGTCGGCCCTGGCACGACGGTGCCAGGCCGGCTCGCCTCTGTCACGGCTGGCTCTCCTGCTGCGCGCCGTGGCGGGGCACGCGGGATGGGCGGGCGCGTCTGGCAGCAGCCCCGCGTGAGAGGTCGCCTTACCTGGTAAGGCACCCGAAATCCTCTCGGGCCGGGGCGGCGGCTAGGAGGGAGGGGGAGGGAAGAGGGAGGAGGGAGGAGGAGGCGGAGGAGCAGGAGGAGGAGAAGGAGAAGGAGGACGAGGACGAGGAGGAGGAGGAGGTCGGCAGAGGAGGAGGAGGAGGAGGAGGAGGAGGAGGAGGAGGAGGAGGAGGAGGAGGAGGTCGGCGGAGGAGGAGGCCGGCGGCGGAGGAGGAGGAGGAGGAGGAGGAGGAAGAGAAGGCCGCCACCGCCAAGCCGTTCGGCGCGCTCGAGCACCTTCAGGCGCTCTCGGCGGGCACGGGCGACGAGCAGTTTCAGAAGTCACTCTTCGCCAACATGGGGGAGATGCCCGCGCCGCCACCGCCAGACTTCTCAGAGGTCTTGGGCCACCTGGGCGCCTTCTCCGCCCTCGGGCATCCAGGCGGCACCACGCCCGCCTTCAACCCCGACGCGCCCGTCTTCAGCATGGCGCCGCCGCCGCCGCCCCAGGTGTGATGAGCAGCCAGCCGCGGCGCCTGGGATCCGAGCACAAGGGTGCCAGAACGGTCCACGCGTGGGGTGATCGCCTTCGGTGGCAAGACGGGGAGAGCAATGCGGGAGGATGGGCCAGAGCAGGAGGATGGACGAGGCACGGGAGAACGGGGAGGGCAAGCGCACCTGAACGGCCACCCGACGCGGACTGTTGATTTGTACCTCTCTCGCCGAACGCGCAGCTCGGGGGGGCCGCAGAGACGTGACACCAGGGGCTGGGATGTGCCCTACAGTCAGTGTGCGATTGTTGCTCGCGAGACTTGAGCGACCATGCTATGTCTTGATGGCGGTTTGAGGGAAACGTCTTGCTTCCCCTCTCTCCTCGCTATTCATCCTCGCTTCTCCCCTTCTGTTCTTCCTCTGTGCTCAATCCTCTCCGCGAGGGGCGCGTCCGCCCGCCCGCGCACGCGCGCGCACACGCGCACACCCAGTCGCTTGCAGCCGCCCGCCCCGCACCCACGCACGCACGCACGCACGCACACACACGCCCACCCCACTCACGCACGCACGCACGCACGCACTCACGCATTCACGCACACACACACACACACGCACACACGCGCCCACCCACGCACGCACACACGCAGGCGCGCACGCGCGCACGCCTGCCCGCACGCACGCACGCACGCGCGCACGTACGCACGCACGCACGCAAACACGCAACCACGCACAGACGCACACACGCACACACGCACGCACAAGCACAAGCACAAGCACAAGCACACGCACACGCACACGCACGCGCATACGCACACGCACACGCACACGCACACGCACTCGCAACGCACAACACAACACAACACAACACAGCACAGCACAACACACCACAGCACACCACACCACACCACAACACACCACAACGCACCGCAACACAACACAACACACCACACCACGCCACAAACACAACACAACACACAAGACACAGCACACCGCACACACCACACAACACACACCACACAGTAGACAACACACAACACACAACACAGCACTCTGCACACAACACACCACCCAGCGCCCAACACACAATACACAACACACCACACAACACACAACACACACCACACACCACAAAACACATACACACACAACACACACCACACAACACACAACGCACAACGCACAACACACAACACCCACAACACACAGCACACAACACACAACCCACAACACACAACACACACGCACACACACAAACACACAGACACACACAGACACACACAGACACGCACACAGACACACACAGACACACACACACACACGCACGAACGCACGCACGCACGCACGCACGCACGCACACACACACACACACGCACGCCCGCGCGCACGCACGCACGCCCGCGCGCACGCGCGCACGCACGAACGCACGCACGCACGCGCGGGCGCTCGCGGGCGCACGCGGGCGCACGCGGGCGCACGCGGGCGCATGCGGGCGCACGCGGGCGCACGCGGGCGCACGCGGGCGCAGGCGGGCGCACGCGGGCGCGCGCGGGGGCGCGCGCGCGCACCCACGCACCCACGCACCCACGCACCCACGCACCCACCCATCCACGCACCCACGCACACACGCACCCACGCACACACGCACCCACGCACACACGCACACGCACACAC